CAAGGTTTCAACAGCACATTCAGCAGCACACTGGCCTGTTGCCGAAGCAGCTGTTCTTCCTGCCAGGATTCTATCTACCAGGTGCTATCAATGCTTCAATTGATGACAACAAAAACGTGGAAAATCAACGATCAGGGCAAAAAGAAACCTTGCCTCTAGCTTCTGCTTCAGAGCTTCTGCTTCTCTTTTCTTCTTTGCGGTTGCCTCTGGTTCTTCCTCCTTCTTTGCGGCTGCCGCTGGTTCCTCTTTCTCTGCCTCGTGGCCTTCAAACGGATTCTGGGCAATCAAAGATTTACAACTAGTAGCGATGCACTTGTTACTAGTATCTTCTTGGCCTTCCGCGGGGCTAATGCGCTGCGTAGCCGTTCTTTCGCTGCTCGCCTAAGTAATGTCTTGTCTCGCAGTTCGTTTTCTCTGTACGTCGCACGTCTCTTCGTTCCACGTCTGCGTTGGATATGAACTGGTTCCTGTCTGCGTTGGATTGGAACTGGTTGAGTTTGTAGTTGTAGTTACAATTCTAATTCTATTTCTATTTATTTTTGTTTCTAATAGCGAACATCTTTCATAGTCCGGCCAGGAGACCCTAGTCGCGTCCTTGCTCCTAGTAGCGATGCCAGGAGCCCCTAGTAGCGATGTCCTTGCTCCTAGTCGCGGATTGGAACTGGTTCTAAGTTCAAGACGCTCTTTGACGCAGTTAGTTGTGCTTCCTGGCACAAGGTCAGCCCTACACGCTTCTTGACATGGGATCATGGAACGCCTCTTTTTGCTGTTCTTCTTGCTTTCGCCTCACCTGAGCGACTGAGCATTTGTGCAATTTCCAAACATCTTGTGACAAATGCGTCTTTCTGGGTTCCTTGTGACAGGAAATGGCAAACAAGACCTAAAGTCTCAAGAGAAAACCAACATAAAAGAATGACGCAAACACAGAACGGCATGTGCTATAAGGTTGGAGGCCATCGCGCTTTGCGCATTTTGGGTTTGGTGATCACTTTCGATGGCAGATACAAGGAGATCCTAGTAGCGTCCTTGTCACTAGTAGCGATGCCAGGAGCCCCTAGTAGCGTCCTTGCAAATGCAAGGAGATCCTTGTGTTTTTGTGGTCTCAAGTCGCCTTTTCGTGGCACTAAGCGCGGATTTTGTGGCAGGTGCAACTTGTGCAACCGTGAACTTTGGAGGGAGAAGTATCGTGCGAAAGCTTGGTTTTGGCACCTCCAACGTCTCTGGCCTTTCTTGCGAAAAGCAGAGGGAGGGCTGCGCAATGTGAATCTTGACGTGCAGCGCTTTGTAAAAGGTGCTTTTTGGTGAATCTATTCTCTTTGGTTCTTCTTTTTGTGGCCGTACTTGCTTTGTTTGCCTTTGTCTAGGAAAACCGTGGGCGGTTGGAGGATCCGCAAGGGTTGCAGATTTCGTGGTGCGGGAGTTGGGGTGGGGACGGCGCAGCAAGGATCATTGCAAATTGCACAACACACACAGAAGAACAAGGAGCAAGGATGCTACTAGGGGCTCCTGGCATTGCTACTAGGAGCAAAGAAGCAGAACAGCGCAGAAACACAGCGCAAAGGGAAGCTGAAAGGAAACAGAAAGCAAAGAAGCAGAAATTCGGGAAGCAGGGAAGCAGAAAAGCAATGAAGCAAAAAATACAGCAAAGTAGCAAGCGGAAAAGCAAACAAGCAGAAAAGAAGAAATGGTTTGCCATACGCTGGCAGGGTGGAGGCAATCGCTAGTAGGGTGGAGGCTATATAGTTAAGGCCACAATAGTTAAAGTTTGCCATACCCATCTCTAGGAACCCGCCCTCAGAAGAGGGGAGCTTCCCATCACTATTAGGTCGGAGGCCATTCCTATTAGGTTGGAGGCCATCGCTACTAGGGTCGAGGCCTTTGCTATTAGGTTCTTTGTTACTAGTAGTAAGGCACTTGTTACTAGAAGCGATGCACTTGTTCCTGGGTTTCTTAAAGTGCCGCATCCAAAACCAATGTCTCACCAGTCCGGCAAAGGTGCCGCAGCGTCTTTGGCTCTGGATGTGCTTGATGGAGCCTCGAAAGCCAGAAGCAAGTCGTTCCTAGTAGCATTCTTGTTACTAGTAGCGATGCCCTTTGCTCCTAGTCGCGTAGCGATGCCAGGAGCCCCTAGTAGCGTCCGATCGCTCCTAGTGTCGTTCATTTTTCCATATTTTTTCCTCGCAAGTCGGAAGGTGGAGAAGTCAGCCTGGCCTCCACCATGCGGATTGAAGCGTCTTCATCCTTCTCATCCAAATCCAACACGGTTTCGACTTGTGGCGCCTGGCCACTGGTAGCAAGGCATTGCTACTAGGAACAAGAATGCTACGGCCTTTTTGGTCCCAAAGCCAAAACTTGTGAATCCTTTGTTATGTCAGGGGGCAGAAAATCATGGCTTGGAAGGAGTCTCAACTCCAGGAAATACGACACCGTCGTCGCAAGCTCACGTGAAGGATCTTTGCTCAGTTTACCATCAAGGGATCCTCAAAATGAACCGGAAAAGACTCATGTCAATCATCAAAATTTTCCAGGGTCTAACCAAAAACACTCCAACAAAAAGAGAACTTAGGTCTGGAAATCGTGTTAAGTTTCTGACACCCTACATCCCCATGCTCCTGTAAAGAGGACTGCAAGCGTGCCTCTGCTTTACTTGCACGCGTTTCTGCTCTCCTCCACTGCGGGCGCACAACATTGAAACACGTCCTTACCTTGCTACTGGGCAAGAAACACAATAGTTAAAATGACACCTGCAAACCAAATAAAGGCCTCATGGTGTAAAGGAAAGACATCTTTCTAGACCTTTAGACCTTGTACTTCTTCCTTAGACCTTTGGGCCTGTGTTCTTCTTTTTCTAAACGAAACCGCGCCACTCTCCTGCTCTCTTCCTCTGCCTCCACGGGTTTCTCTTCCGTCTGCGCCGGCAAATCAATTGCCTCATGCCCAATGACGCACTGCTGCACTCTGGTCGAGAACCTACCATCTTGTTCCTAGTAGCATCCAGTTGCCCCTAGTAGCATTCTTGTTCCTAGTAGTGATGCCCTTTGCTCCTAGAAGCCTCCTTGCTCCTAGTAGTAAGGCCAGGAGCCCCTAGTAGCATTCTTGTTCCTAGTAGCGATGCCTTTGTTCCTAGTAGCATCCTTGCTCCCAGTAGCAAGGCCAGGAGGCCCTAGTACCATTCTTGTTCCTAGTAGCGATGCGCTTTGCTCTTAGTAGCAAGAATGCTCTACTCATGGTCGAGAACCTACCATCTATGGTTTGCAACTCCAAACACATTGCAGGTACCTTTAGGACAAAGCGATTCAAGCATTTGTTTCCTCTCTTATTCTCTCTTTAGACCTGTATTTTTCTTTGTTATGTTTTTCTTTACGTGTTGTTCCTTTTCTTGTCTTCTTTAGACCTGTCGTGTTCTTTCTGATCGCCTTTTGAGCGTGTTTTCTTTCCTTTCATTCTTTCTTATCCTTTCGTTTTCCTTTTTTTATCTGTTTCTTTAGAACTCTCCTTCCTTCCTGTGTCTGCTCTTCTTTAGACTTTTTCTGAATTCCTTGCAAGTTCAAGATTACAATTGACTCATTAGATTGTGAATTTTCCTGGCGCTCAGTCAGGCCTGCTGCATTTTGGGTTTCTCTGCGGCCTGGTCTTTTTTCACAAGGTTTCAAAAGCACATTCAGCAGCACACTGGCCTACAATGAAAACATAGAAAATCGACGATTTGGGCGACAACAATTTGATCAAACATGTTTCAATCGACTCTCCTTGGTTGCCATCTGCCACAATCCCGACCACAGCAATGTACACGTCGAAGGGAATCCAAAATTTAGAGACACAAAATGAAACGATCTACAATCCTAGCCTGTTTATTGCGAGCTGACAGCCTTGGCCAAGGTCTAGTGGAGCAAGAAAGGCAAAAACAAACCTTGCCTCCGACTTCTCCTTCAAAGCTTCCACTTCTCTTTTCTTCTTTGCGGGTGCCTCTGGTTCTTCCTCCTTCTTTGCGGCTGCTGCTGGTTCCTCTTTCTCTGCCTCGTGGCCTTCAAACAGATTCTGGGCAATCAAAGATTTACAACTAGTAGCGATGCACTTGTTACTAGTATCTTCTTGGCCTTCCGTGGGGCTAATGCGCTGCGTAGCCGTTCTTTCACTGCTCGCCTAAGTGACTTTAATTCGCAGTTGGTGCCTCTGTTCATCTTCTCTATCCGCTGCAAGTTGTGCGCGCACTCAGCATGGGACCAACATGTTCCTCTCTGCTTTGGATTGGAGCTGGCTGATTTCCTCTCACGTTCAAGACGCTCTTTGATTCTGATTCATTTGATTGTGAACCTTCCTTGCACTCAGTCAGGCCTGCTGCATTTTGTGTTTTTCCGCAGCCTGTCTTTTTCACCAAGGTTCAAACACTCATTCAAGCCAGCAGGGATAGACTGGCCTGTTGCCGAAGAAATTTTCCCTCCTGCCGGGATGCTGGATGCCAAATGCTTCAGTTGCAAACCTTCTGTCGTGTGGACGGGGGGAAAAGTCCCGAGAGCGAAAAGAGATAATAGTATGAAGGTGTGTCAAGAAAAGGCTTTGATTAATTAGCAGATGTGAGTGAGTACAGGTAAAGACCCGACAGAAGTCAAACATCTGCAGCGTGCAGTGCGCTTGCATTAGCGCCCACTCGTTTTCTGGGCCCTGCCACCGATACAGCCGGTTCTCTCGTGTGGTGCCGCATTGCAGGCATCGAGCGCATTCCATCTTGCGTTTCTAGCGCCGTTGAGTAAAAGCATCGCTACTAGGAGCAAAGGCATCGCTACTAGGACCCCCTTTTTGAGAACACTTCGCCCAGAAACTCTCAGGAAAAATCCTTCAAACCATTTCTCCTGAGTTGCAATCTTCCACGATCCAACGACCGCGGCCAGCACTTGGTCTGTGTCCCGGCCTCCAAACAGATTCTGGGCAAGTGACACTTCCTGTATCGAAATTTGCCCTGTATCTTCTTGGCTTTCCAAGGGGCTCATGAGCTGCAGAGCCATTCGGTCTAGTTGCATCGCCATTCTTTCGCTGGTCGCCTAAGTAACTTCAATTCGCAGTTGGTGCCTCTGTTCATCTTCTCTATCCGCTGCAAGTTGTGCGCGCACTCAGCATGGGACCAACATGTTCCTGTCTGCTTTGGATTTGAGCTGTTTGAACTCCTCTCAAGATCAAGACGCTGTTTGATCCTGATTCATTTGATTGTGAGCCTTTCCTAGCACTCAGTCAGCCCTGCTGCTCCAGTTTCTGACTGGTTCAATTTCAGAGACACGTTTCTTGCAGTGACATGGGATCATGGAACGCCTCTTTGTGCTGTTCTTCTTGCTTGTGCCTCGCCTGAGCGACTGAGCATGAGTACAACTTCCAAACATCCCTTGACGAATGCGTCTTTCTGGGTTCCTTGTGACAGGAAATCACAAAATAGATCCAGAAAAGTAGTAAACAAACAAACAGGCGCCTATCTGAATGGGTCCTGTCTTGGCCCCGAGCAGTCTCCAAGTGATTCTCATATACCTCAATGAACTTTCCAGGTCAACATGAACTGCACTCTTATCTCATCTTTCCCCTGTTTTTTCCACCAAAAGTGTGGTCACACTAGGCGTTCTTATGGTAGTAGTTTACGTTGGGTTTGCTCGAGGGTGGAAGTGCCTTTGTTGCAAAAGGCCGCAGCAGGGCTGTGCAATGTGAATCTTGATGTGCAGATTTCGTGGCAGGGGCAGCGATTTCGTGACGCAAAGCGATTCTGTGTGCTCATACATATCTGCTCCCATATTATGCGCACTCTCACTTGTGATGCTCTAATATTGGTGTTATCATATGTGCTCTAGAGCGCGGGTCTTGTTTTGTTCTCTTCAACACTGTTTGGTGTCTCTTGCCAGGATGATGTCCTTCCTTTGCTTAGACCTTTACTGTGGCCTTTAGACCTTCCTTCCTTCCTTCCCTTTATCCCTTTTCTTTTCTGAGTATCTTTCTTAACAATTCTGAACATGTTCCCTCAGTGGGTGCCAGTTGGCACGTTCGCAGCTGACATAGCAGTACTCAGAAAGCATTTAGAGTTTTTTCTGCTTGTGGCGGCGCAAGGGGCTGTGAGCTGTTGCCCTTCCAATTCGTTGAGAGCGTCTGCAACGTCTGCGGGTCTAGAGCCAACTGACACCTGACTGCGCGTTGGCGCTGCGAATCATCGTGTGCCAATGGTGTGCCCACGGCCTGTAAACGCTTCGTCCGTTGCCAGTCGCTTCTGAAGTTGTGATACGTTTTTGGCATGGCGTGATTCTGTTCAAAGTTCTCCGCAAACCTTCCAACTCAACAGGACAAGTACCATGAAACGAATAATTTTCACAACGCTTGCAAAGCCTACAACTCACTTCTAAGAATTTTGCATGAGACATTCGATTGGATAAGTTCAACAGAACCCATCGTCTGAGCCATGTGCCAGCTGGCTCCAAGCTCTAAGGCATTGCCTCAGGAAGTAGCAGTGCACAGCCAGTTCGTCGACAACAGTTACGTCACTGAAGGCTCCAGCGCGAACACTAGCTGCTTCCTTTTCCCTGCGCCGCTCGGCGCTACGCCGCTCTGTGTCGATAGTAGCGATTCCCTTTGCTCCTAGTAGCTTCTTGTTCCTAGTAGTATGGCCAGGAGCTACTAGTAGCGTCCGATCGCTCCTAGTAGCGATGCCCTTGTTTATAGCTTGTTGATTCCTTCTTTCTTTGTACCTTTTCTTTTTTGAGCCCGTGGCCCGCTCGCTCTTACTTAATTAAGTAGGCGCCTACTTCATTGGACACACTTGTTCGCTCCTAGCGACTTGGATGCTGGACGGACAGCGCTCGTACTCATCAGGACAGGTTCGCTTTTGAGGGAAACAGCAAACACGAATCCTACAAATACTGTACTACACACGTACTACACAGGGAGCAGCGACGAGCGAGGAGTGGTAAAGGGCTGGTGAACCTCGAATGCCTAAAACCGACGATGCAGCCTAGGTGGAACTTGCAACTCAGTTGGGCAAGCTCAGTGTGCTATCTGGCCGTGCCTTCGACTAAAGTCGCAATGAACTTGGCTTTGGCGTCACCTGATCAAGAGAATGGACGAATTATTCAAAAATTATGCACAAGTGTGACCGTCAACAGCGCGTGTGGATGGACATGTCAAGCAGCAGAAACTTGCAAGAATTGTGCAGCCGTAGAAAATGACAAACCTATGCATGCAAAACCCTCTGCGAAACGTTGATGGAAATTCCCGGAACTTCCAGAATCTGGCAACCGCGTCGGAAAGAGCTTATGTTGGCTTAGACACCAAAGCTGTCCAAAGCTTTCAACTGTTTCGATTTCATGACCAACAGTTTGGTTGATGCTCCCAAGCACTTGGGCCAAAACCATGAAGTTGTCGCTTTTTTCGAGCCTCCTCCTGGAAAAGGGAAGAGGTTTCACAAAAATACGTTGCACACGAGGACGGAAGAAAACTGCTGTATCCTCCTGGGCCTGCTGCGTCTTAGCCTGTTTCTGCGAAAAGCGTTCCTGGCCAGTCCGTGCCACGGTCCGTGCCACGGTCCGTGCCACGGTCCGTGCCACGGTCGCTTCGCTGTGGCTTCTCCAACCCAACATGCCTCTCCTTGGCTGTTGTTCTCCACAATCCAAAGACTGCAGCCTGTAGGAGGTTGTTCAGCCTGTTGTTGTTGTAACCTTCAAACTGGCAATTGCAAGCGTTCTGCAAGGGCCCTTGCTTGTAAAAGTACTAAAGCCAAATGACTTACACAAAAGTTCTTGAGATTATACCCCACTCAAGAAGCAAAGTCCTAGTTCTTAAACAAACTTCTTTTTCCACTCCACCAGGGTGGACGCTACAGCAGCTTCTAATCTGATACTCTGATACATGTCCGCCGCAATGACAGAAAAGGATCATAAATCACGACAACTCATTGCCTCAAGCTCAAACTGTATGTTTCTTGTTTTCAAGCCTCAACCCTTGGAGGTTCAGTGAGGTTACCATTATTGTGTTCTTTGCTTCGCTGTGTTTATTTCTGTCCTTCCTTTACGTTCCTTTCCTTTCAGTGTCCATTCTTGTTCTTCTCTTTTGCTTCTTTTTCTCTGTTAGGCCTTTTCAAGTCTGCCTTTTGACCATTTCAATTTTGGGGAGATCCAGCATCAGTTGGTATGGCAATGAAAGGAGCGAACTGGGAGGATGAACTGCGACTTTGTGCACAGAAGCCTTCTTAGGAGTGAGTGCTAGCTTCTAGAGAAAGTGAAGAAAAAGTGAAGAAGAAACGCTCGAGTCGGTGCCAAATGTGTTTCGGAACCATGGCATGCGAAGATGCATAGATGCATGGAAGACTGCGGTTTCATTGGCACACGTTCTGTAGTCTCCTCCCCAAGTCGTGTCGCATCAAAGGTCTACAGGTCTTGATCACCTTGCCCCATGGCAGGTAAAATAGGAGAAATGAAAGGAACGCAACAAAGTGCACGAGCGTGCTGAGAAAGGAAAGGAAGAAGGAAAGGAAGGCCCAGGAAGACAGGAAGAAAAAAACCAAAGGTTGACACAAAGAAGCCAAACAAATTTCTTTGTTTCCTTAATTTGTTCTTCCTTCCTTCCGTTACTAGGTTGGAGGCCATCGCTATTGGGTGGGAGGCCATCTCTATTAGGTTGGAGGCCATCGCTAGTTCCTTGTCTATTGTATTCTATTTTGTTCTTCCTTCGCGATGCCCTTGTTCCTAATAGCTTCTTGTTCCTAGTAGTAAGGCCAGGAGCCCCTAGTAGCGTCCTTGCTCCTAGTAGCGATGCCCTTTGCTCCTAATAGCTTCTTGTTCCTTGTGTGTATCTTCTGTGTTTCTTCAGCTCCAAGTAGCCAATGAGCTGCGTGACCACCCGGATAGTGGCCTCGGTGATTTTCGTTTACACGCGACGTGCACGCCGCTGGTGCATGTTTTTCACACCTGATCGTCTTGGGAGGGGACTGACTTGTTTGTGTCTGCCTTGGACTTGAGCTGGTGGAGCTCCTTGCAAATCACACGTTGGAGGCCATCGCTACTAGGTTGCAGACTATTGCTATCCACACATCGTGTGCGCGCCTTTTCCATTTTGCGCTGTTCTTCAGCCTGATACGCAACTGATGCACTTTGTGGTGCAATCCGACATAAATTCCAAAGCAGGGTGGAAATACATAAAACAAACGGTTCTGTAGTGGAAAAGGAAGCTACTAGGTTGGTGGCCATCACTACTAGGGTGGAGGCCATCGCTACTAGGGTGGAGGCCATTCCTATTAGG